GAGGTGGCAGGGGCAGGAGGTGGCGGGGGGGGGGGGGGGGAGGAGGTGGGTGGCGGGGGGGCAGGTGGCGGGGGCAGGAGGTGGCAGGGGCAGGAGGTGGCGGGGGGGGGGGAGGAGGTGGGTGGCGGGGGGGCAGGTGGCGGGGGCAGGAGGTGGCAGGGGCAGGAGGTGGCGGGGGGGCAGGAGGTGGGTGGCGGGGGGGCAGGTGGCAGGGGCAGGAGGTGGCAGGGGGCAGGAGGTGGGTGGCGGGGGGGCAGGTGGCGGGGGCAGGAGGTGGCAGGGGCAGGAGGTGGCGGGGGGGCAGGAGGTGGGTGGCGGGGGGGCAGGTGGCAGGGGCAGGAGGTGGCGGGGGCAGGAGGTGGCGGGGAAGGGCAGGAGGCGGCGGGGGCAGAAGGTGGCAGGGGCAGGAGGTGGAGGGGGCAGGAGGTGGCAGGGGCAGGAGGTGGCGGGGGGGGCAGGAGGTGGGTGGCGGGGGGGGGCAGGTGGCGGGGGCAGGAGGTGGCGGGGGCAGGAGGTGGCGGGGGGGGGTGTTAGGAGGGGGCGGGGGCAGGAGGCGGCGGGGGGCAGGAGGTGGCGGGGGAGGGCAGGAGGCGGCGGGGGGCAGGAGGTGGTGGGGGTAGGGGCTGCAGAGACAGCTCAGCAGCTGAGAGCATGCATTGACTGCTACTGTAGAGGACCTCGTTGAGTTCCCAGCACCCACAGTGAGTGCCCCCAAATGCCTGCAAATCCATCTCCAGGAGACAACCCGACACCTTCTCTGGCTACTATCGGCACTGAACTCACATGCACACACCCACACACAGACACACACATATACACACAATTAAAAATAAAAATAAAATCTAAAACAAAATAAAAACTGTTCTCAAGAACAGCCAAGGCTGCCGGGTGGTGGTGGCGCACACCTTTAACCCCAGCACTCGGGAGGCAGAGGCAGGCGGATCTCTGAGTTCAAGGCCAGCTTGGTCTACAGAGTGAGTTCCAGGACAGCCAGCGCTCCACAGAGAAACCCTGTCTCAGAAAATAAAAATTCTAGGAACATCCAGGGCCATTCTGCCACTCTGGCTGCACATCGTGAGGGTAACAAGGGCACAGTTACCATCTGCCCTGTCTGTTGTGGCAGCCATCAGAGACTCTGTCCCGTTACATCATACTAATCGTCTCCGTTTTCCTAGCATATCTAAAGCTTTGTTTTTTAATCCATCTAGATGTGCGTATGTGTGTGTGTGTGTGTGTGTGTGCGCCCACGCGCGCACGTGACATGAGTTATTTTGCAACATTTATTTGAGTGACATGAAGCTAGGAATTTCACATTTTCTGTACAACCAGGTGTACCAGCACCATCTACTGGCTGGTCTGTCCCGACTCCCTGTGGTCAGCACAATGACTAACTGCTCCCCCAAAGACAGCCACGTCCTAATCCACAGGAGCTGCTAGTGAGAGCTGCTGGTCAGCAGACCCTGAGGCATCGCTTGAGCAGAGACGCTGCTCACTGCCAGGATGCAGGAAGGAGGGGATGAGGGGCCAAACAGTCACTAGATATTGGGGGAAGGGAAGGAAATGGATTCTCCACGCAGCCTGTGGATGTGACTTCTAGAGCGGTGGGATAACAAGGATGCACTGTTTTAAGTCACCAAGTGTCTGCCAAGTTATTGCAGCAACAAGAACCGCAGGCATCCTATCTGCACAGGGATGCCCATCACCCCGTAGACGCCACACTGTTCTTGGGCCTGTAACTCTATGCATAAGTCTGCAAACCAAAAATACTGAGGTTTCATTTCTTCCAAACTGCCTTGGCTGCCCTTTACTGGATTGTTTTTAGATTTAAAAGTAGCACATATCTAAATAAATAAATAAATAAACACAGTGCGTGGGTACAATACACTCTAGGCAGAAATCACAACCTAAGAGTCAGCACAAAAGGGAGGGCACAGGGAAGGACTCCAGGGAGTTTGCATGGCCCCTAGACCAGCAGCGGGGGAGGGAGTTAGAGAGGGCGGGGGTTAGAGGGGGGGCTAGAGGGGGGGTTAGAGGGGGCAGGAGTGGGGGAGAGAAGAGTGGAAAGGAGGGGAGGCAAGGATGACCTCAAGCAACAGGCAACAAAGACAGAGGTCCTGAGTGGCCACCAAATGTCAACTGTCCAGTGATTTTCAGGTCAGAAAGAGAGGTAATCACGGTCAGCAAGGCGGATGGACTTGTTAAAACAGAGCCACGAGTACAGGACACCAAGGAAGCCAATGTCCAAGTACAGAGCAGCAGCTGGGTGAGTAAAGCAGCTTAGGATGGCAGAGGTACCTTCCAGTCTCCAGCTCGGGCCCACCTGGAAGCTGACAGACACAGCAGGGAAGACCATCGGGAAAAGTGGAGCCCCTAAGGCCAGCTGACCTCGTCTCATTTGGGGAGTGCAGGCAGAGCTTGTGAGGAGTCTGGTTATCTGGGGGAAGGCAGCCCTACCTGATCAGGCCCCATCCAACACAGCTGAAGAACAAGACCCAAATGATCAAACTGTCCTCAGAGCTTTACACCACGTATTAGACTCACAAATTCTCAACCCCCAACAGGAGAGAATCCCAAGTATCCATAAACCAGGCAGAGCTCATCAGACATGCAGAGGAGAGACACCACCCAAGTCCCCACAGAAAGCGGAAGGCAGAGCTGTGCAGGTTATGAGAGGCAGGTAGGAACAAGGTTACAGGGACAGGGTGAGTCCTGCATGCCTCTGGCTACCCACAGGCTGGTGACCACCACTAACCATAGTGTTTCATATTTCCAAACAAAGAGAAAAGATTTTGGGTATTCTTAGCGCAGAGATGGACACACCCACTGCCCTGACCCCAAGATGGCTACAGACGCACTGGAGCACCCCACCCCATGCAGCCCTTCTGTAGCTAAGAGACGAACTTGAGAGCGAATTGACTAAGACATTCCGGTCAGCCAACAGAACACTCAAGTCTGTAAGCTGTATTCCACATAAAATGAGGACTTACTCTGGAGTGACGCTGACAGAAAGTGCACCCTGCTGCCCACCACCCGAGGGATTCGGCAGACTTTCTGGCAGCACCCCAAGTGGAGGGGATGCTGCACAGCCAGATCCCACTTACATGAGACGGTCCACTAATGTACACACTGCGGGAACAACCCTGAGCGGTCTGCTAAGCACAGAATTCAAACTAGGAACTTCAACTGCTCTGCAGAGAGGGAGCCTTCAACAGGGCTTGTCATTTCAGAAAATCCAGTGACCAGGAAATGGAGGTCTGCATATCAAGCTGTAGGTCAAGGGTCAGTGGGCCCCTCACCTATCAGTGAGAAACTTACATTCAACAGGACCAGACTCCACAACAGAACCTCAACATACAGACAGTACCCTATGCCAGAACTCGGGCACCAAATCAGGACAGAAAACCTGTCTAAACTGTCCAGATTATCAGAGGCTGGGTGGGGAGGGCAGGGAGAGGCTAGGAAGGGACAGCATGTCCTCTCTGGCCACTTGGCATCCCCTGCTGTTGGGCAGTCAGAGGGATTGTGGTAGCACAGCAGAAGGGAGCACAATAGGAGGGTGGGAGCACAACAGGATGGGAGCACAGCGGGAGGAGGGGAGCAGAGCGGGAGGGAAGCACAGGGGGGAGGGGAGCACAGGAGGAGAGGAGCACAGGGGGAAGGGAGCACAGCAGGAGGGGAGCACAGCGGGAGGAGAGCAGAGTGGGAGGAGGGGAGCACAGCAGGAGAGCACAGCAGGAGGGGAGCACAGCAGGAGAGCACAGCAGGAGGGGAGCACAGCAGCAGGAGAGCAAGCAGGAAGAAGGGAGCACAACAGGAGAGCACAGCAGGAGGAGGGGAGCACAGTGGGAGGGGAACACAGTGGGAGGAGGGGAGCAGAGCAGCAAGAGGGGAGCACAGCAGGAGGAGGAGAGCAGAGTGGGAGGAGGAGAGCACAGCAGGAGGAGGAGAGCAGAGTGGGAGGAGGGGAGCACAGCAGGAGTAGAGCACAGCAGGAGGAGTAGAGCACAGCAGGAGGAGAGGAGTACAACAGGAAGGGAGCACAGCGGGAGGAGGGGAGTACAGCAGGAGGGGAGCACAGCAGGAGGAGGGGAGCACAGCAGGGGAAGGAGAGCACAGCAGGGGAAAGGGAACACAGCCGGAGGGGAAACAGCCAGAGGAAAGGAGCACAGTGGGAAAGTGGGAGCGCAGCAGGATGGGAGCATAGCAGGAGGGTGGGAGCACAGTGGGGGGAAGGAGCAGTGGGAGGAAGGGAACACAGCTGGAGGAGGGGAGCACAGCTGGATCAAGGGAGCACAACTAGAGGAGGGGAGCACATTGCTCTGCTCTATGGATTCGCAAGCTGTTCATTCCCCATCTACCTGTGTCCAGGGCCCCTACAGCCCTCAGTTGGCAGGAGACAGATCTGCTCCAGAAACCCCCACAACTACTCAACACCCACGTACGCATCTTGCTGTGCAAGCCATCCTGGCTTCACCAGACTCAGGCCTAAAGCAAAAGGCACTGACCACAGGCCCAGGCCACACAGAAGACACTGGGCCATCAAGCTCAGTGACAGTACCGGTTCTTCAGCCCACACACAGCTGTAGACCTGTCACTCACAGGGCGAGGACTGAACCTCTGTGGGAGGCCATTGCCACTGGCATCCCATTATGACCCCTTTCCTGAAGGGATGTCCCCAAGCCACCCAGTGGACGGCAACAGTGCTTCAGTGAAAATGGAAGGACAAGACCAAAAGCAGCCAGGGCGGCTGCCGGCACATCCAGCGGGCCCTTGATGAAGTCACCCTTCACCAGCAGACACACACTTGCTTGGGACCAATCTATGGCTGGAGTCTGGGCGACAGACAGCTGGACCACACATTATCACACTGTCCAATGCCACATCATCAGCTTAGGGAGACCAGCTAATTGATTCGATAGGGCAATCTGCGGCAATTATCCCGCAGGGCTGATGAGAGAGGGAAGCAGGCTGCAGGGTAGAGTCAGCTCTCTGGAACTCACCTGAAGGGGACGCAGGTGTCTTCCTGGAGGAACGCCGCTCTGCCTTGGGGCCATGCTCTGGGGGGGTGTCTGAGCTCAGCGAGAACTGGAACTGGATGGTTCCCGACTCCACCTGCTTCACCTGTGATTGACCCCACGAGAGCAACGATGGCATCCCTCGCTGGCCCTTCCGTCAGTGACTCACCAGTGACTGCCCAGACCCCCCTCAAAAAAAGTTTAATCAAGAGAGCAAAGACTCCGGAAGCCACATGTTCTTAGATCATAAACAACTAATTTTCTGAGACGAAAATTAGTTGTAGCATTAAAATCCCAGGGGGCCATATTATCAGAGAATGACATTTACCCAGGAAATATAGTTTAAGGTATTTAATAGGCCACAATGTGTGTGTTTTAATTAACATGTAATATTGACTTACTTGCATAACAATAGTCCTGTGGGTTTTAACCCCTGTGCAGAATCACATGACCTGCCCCATCCCTCCCTCGGCTGGTCCAAGCATCCACTGCCTGCTTCTCCATAGCCAGGCTGGTCTTCCTGAGTGTCATGTGGACACAATCACGCAGCACGCGGCCCTTGAGAGGGACTTTCTCACACACTCAATCCACACAATGCCCATGGAGACTGACCACGTGTGAAACTATCTACAGTCCGTGCCTTTCAGGGTTGAGTCATGCTCTATCACACTGATGTGCCACTGTCCACCCATCTGTCCACTCGCTGGGAACACCAGGCTAGCTGCAGGTCTGCAGACTGTGCACAGAGGTCTGGGAACACCGGGCTAGCTGCCGATCTGCAGACTGTGCATAGAGGTCTGGGAACACCGGGCTAGCTGCCGGTCTGCAGACTGCGCACAGAGGCGACATAAACGGTGGTGGGCGAATTGCTGTGTGAACCGGCTTCATTTCTCTGGGAACTGGCTGCTAGAAAGTGACTCTGTAGACACTACAGTTTGTAAAACTTAAAATAAAATTTTAAAAAAATCTGAGCCATAGGGGCTAGAGAGATGACTCAGTGGTTAAGAACACTGGCTGCTCTTCCAAAGGACCCAGGTTCAGTCCCCAGCACCTACTGGGTTTAAACTGTTATTGTTTGAATCTGAAATGTCTCCCATAGGCTCGTGTTCAGAGCTATCTTGAAGGCGTGTGGACCTCTACTGAGTGGGGCCTGGCTGCTGCCAATGGGTCACTCGGGGCCACCACCTTTGCCAATCACATGCACCCGACTCTGGCTGGCTCCCTCTACCTCCTCTCCTCCTAAGTGAGAAGTCTGGACTATAGTCCCACCTCCATGCGCCCACCTGCCTTCCCTCCCAGGACACACTTAGTCCCTCTGAGGCTGTGAGCCACAATAAGCCTTTCCGCCCTGGTTTCTGTCTGGTATTTTGGTTACAACAAAATGAATTGTAATTAGTGTGGTATCTTATTGTTAATGATTTTTCTTGAGGTTTTAAATGTAAACTCTACCAGGGGTAGAGCACATGCTTGTAACTCAGCACTTGGGAGGCTGAGAGGAGGGCACCACCAGTTTGAGGCCAGTGTGGGCTACACGGTGAGACCCTTTCTCAAGTAAGCAACTGAACGAATTAAACAAAAATTCATCTCTGACATCTCACTCCCTCTAGAGGATGGAATGCAGATGCTCTCACCTAGATCCTGGCTCCTGACATCACACTGTCATTTCACAGTATCTAAACACCTTGAAGACCTCACAGGATACCTTGCAGCTTCTGCTTCCACCTCCCAGGAAGCCCACTCAGCCCCCATTCCCGCTGTTCTTCACCCCCATCTTCCACATTTCCTTCTGTCTGGAGAAACCCAGGCTGCTCCTGAATTCCCTTCAGTTCACTGGGGAAGGTAATGCCTGTGCTTCGGGTGACTCTTGATAGGTACAGAATTCTGGGTTCCAAAATCTTTTGTTTTCCCCACTGGCCCCCATGGCTTCTGACAGGAACCCACAAGCATCCTCGTCACCATTCTCTGTAGGCAAGGAACCACTTTTCTATTTCTGTTCTCAACTCTTTTCCTTCGCTTTTAGTTCTCAGTGTTCACAGCGTCTGGTGAGGTTACTTCCCATTTATCTCTGGGCTTTTACTGAACTTCCGGACATCTTGGTTTGTGTCTCTTGCCCGAGGTTTCCTGTCATTACATCTTCAGAGGTGTTTCCTGCACCGGGCCCTCTCCCGTCTCCTGGGATGGGGTGCTGGGCTCTGGCACTGTCCCACTGGTCCGCAGCAGAGCTCAGCCTGCCGCCGCCTGCAGCTCCTGCAGCTCAGGAGGTCCTAGTTCCGCTGACTGACCTTCAGGTTCACAGGCTCTTCAGCCATGCACCCAGCTACACAGCACATCTTGTGAAGATTTTAACGTGGCCGTTTTTCAGTTCTAAAATTTCCATCTTGCTCACCTCTGTACCTCTTCTCTCTCTTTTCACTGGTGTCGGCACCCATGTGCCTGGGCACTTCCACGGCGCTGTTTTCAGATCTTTGATAACCAACCTTTGCACCAGCTCAGTGTTGCTATCTACCGAACGTCTTGTCTCTACCTCGGCTCTTGGTAAACAAAATCGTTTAGATTATATTGCACTCATTTTAAAGATTTACATTAAGAGTCTATGGCTGCTTTGCAGTCCATGAAGAAAGTTGATATTGTGTGTCAGTGGGATCAGGGCTCAGGTCCCAGCTTCTGATCACAGTTCCTATGGGCAATGGTGTTCACACGAGAGCTCCTCTCAAAGCTTGCACAGTCCCCTTAAGATCTTCTGCTTATGTTCGTCCAGTGGGCAGCCCTAGGACTGGACAGTGTCCAACCCATACACACAGCTCAGGTCTCAAACTCCTTGGCCTGCTGTTTGAGGTCAGATCCACATTACAGCTTGGGCTAAGCTTACAACATCTGCTTCCAAGCCCCTCCCCTGTGAGTGCTGTGCAGTTCCTGGGCACCCTTCGACTTTCCAACCAGGCCTGCTGTATGCATCGAATCTGAGGCCGGGTGATTTATAAAGAGGACAGGAGTGTGAAAACGGCTAATGTCCTCATCCATCAGTTCAGGAACTCAGTGCATGATGTCTACAGTTGATAAACTAATAGCACAGGAAGCATACTATTTCAAAATCAAAGGTAAATAACTATAAATCATAACTAGGAACTGAAAGCTTCTGGAGGTATAAATACTTTTAAAGGATTATTCACCCAGAGGAAAAAGACAAGAAAAGGACAAGAGCTAGGCAGGAAACATAGCCATGAGATGTTACCTCACTTCACACAAACTATGAAATAACGGTCAGTAGGACGAATCCTAAAATGTGCTTCCCAGAAACAATGCATTCCAGCGTTGCTACTTTCCTTGACTGGCAGCTGCCATGGGCTCAGGGACATTCTTCCAAGTCTCCATGTGCGTATTCAAAAGGCAGTCACTGAACAAGGGAGAGGGCACAGGTGCACGCACCTGGATCCCAGCTGGTCTCACCTGGCCAGTGTTGGAGCCACAGGCAGGAACGTGAAGAGGCCGAACTGCTTCCCCGGGACAGGGGTGGAGACAGGGCCTGTGCCATCACAACTCACCACTCTCCCCCACCCGTCTGCTCAGGGTGCTGGTCCTCAACAACAGCACTTCTGGCCCCAAAAGCCTGCAGCAAGGTCTGTAGACCCTTGGGCTGCCACAATTGGAGATGCTACTGACATCTAGTGGCAGAAGATGGGGATGCAGCCGAAGGCCCTCTAGAGCGGACGGTCCCCAACAAAAAGTTACCTGGCAGAAACGTCAGCAGTTCTGGGGTTGAGAAATGGAACTCAGATGTGATGTTCTTCATGGAAAATGGAAATGTTTGACACGTGTGTCACTAAGCAAGTCAAATTTTCAAAATGTGTGTGCCTGATACAGTTCACACACTCAGAAAGGAAAAGCAATGAAGTGTCGAGACAAGTTCTAAACGGGACAAACATTTACACCAGACAGACAGACAGACAGACAGAGACACACAGAGAGACACACAAAGGGACATAAAACCACATGGAAACTACACCAAGAGGGAGGGGAGGAAGGGGGTGATTTAAAATGTCCTGGGTCCATCCTGGCCCTCGAGGGTGTGACAGGGCACCCTCCCCGTGCCGCTCTTCCATGTGGTGCATGGAGCCTTGACCCTCACTTCCTCTTTCTCAGGTGAAGGGGCCGTACTTGTCATTTCATAATATGGTTCCATAATGAGAGACAAGCTCTTAACAAGGAAACCGCACAATCAGCTGCTCCCTGATGCAGGTCCCCAAAGCATCAACCAGACCGTAAATAACAACACTGGAAATAATAATAATAATAATAGCTGTAGCTGGAGTCAGCACAGACTGTGAAATGGCAGGTATGGGCACATTCTAGGCACCACCTGGAAGAGCGGGGTGGGGGTGGGGTGCCCTGTTATACCCTAGAGGGCCAGGATGGACCCCAGACATTGGCCAGAGCCAAGCCATAGTTCCAAACCTGTCCATGGTGCCCTGGGTCACTTGCCTTCCAAGACCCCCACCTGGGCAGGGCAGCCAGGGCAGGGCAGCCAGGGCAGGGCAGCCAGGGTGACATACATCCTGCAGCCTCTCCTGACCTTACTTGCTTTCCAGGTTGGAGCTCAGAGAATGTCACAGCCAAGCAGCTTTTTTAATCTGAGAATCTGCAGTGGACCTGCCACCCTACATCCAGCTGAGAGGGGCAAGGTCCGGAGTGGTTATGTGATGAGTGTAACACCCAGCTGTGGACCGAAGCCAAAACCCTGCCTAGCTCTCATGCACTCACCCTCCTGGCAAAAACCACAGGAAGACCTCCTCTGAGGCACCAAACATGGACCCAAGCCGAGGAGAAACTCCTCACCAAGTGTGCAAAACAGTCCAGCAAGGCATCCAGAGGTGGAGATGTGAACAGGGTGCTAGCTGGCCTAACCACGGCTCAGCAAGCACCGAGGGCGTGCCCAGGACACAGGAGAGGTTTGTTCAGGAAATACCAGAAACATACTAGTCCATTTGGAGTTTTAGAATAAATAAACGTAGACTCAGTGGGTAAAGTGCTTCTGAGTAAACGTGAAGACCTGAGTTCAATCCTAGGAACTCACATAAAGCTAAGTGTGGCAGTCCATATCTATAACCCCAATACTGTGGGGAAGAGGGGGGACAGGTGGATCCCAGGGGCTCACTATCCAGGCATGCTAGCTCCAATCAGCAAGCTCCAGCTTCAGTGAGATTCTGTGTCCAAAAATAGGATCAGGAAGAATACTGAAAAAAACCCAATGTCAACTGCTGGCCCCCACATGCATTCTCATGGGTGAATGCACCCGAATATCACACACACACACACACACACACACACACACACACAAATGAACTTGCTAGAAGCATTTGAGAATCACACCTATGAAGTACTTACCTCCTCAGAGCTCATGCTAGCTGAAGGCACCTTATAGACCAGACAGTGTGAGGGATTGTGCTGGATCCCACCCTGAAGAGGCAGCGTCACTTTTCCTGAGGCCGCCTCCAGCTCGGGGTTCCAAACAGCCCAGCGAACCATGTGCATGCATGCCAAGTTGGATAGAGAGGTGGACAAGCCCGCCTGGAATGGAAGCACACAGTCATGGAGTGAGCGCAGCAACCACCTGGGTGGGACATCAGTGATGTGGTCGCACAGAACCCGGGGGGCCAGGGCCTCCCCCCCCCCCGCTCCACCCAAGAAGGGAGCGAGGCAGAGGATGCAGCATCCACGGCGTGAACAACCTGTCCTAAGACCCACCAGTCTTAGGACCCCACCAGCTTCCTCCTGTGGCTCAAGGCAGCAAGGGCCACTCTAAGACGCCTCCACTCCTCAGGGACCTTTCTGCAGACCTGTAAACCTTGGGAACTTGCCGAGTTCTCCTCAAATGCATCTGAAAAATTAAAGAATGGCACCTGCATTGCTGAAGAGAAGCTTTGCAAAATAATGGTGTGAGTGTGTGTGTGTGTGTGTGTGTGTGTGTGTGTGCGCCTGTGCAAATATCTGTGTCAGGGAGATGTGCATGTGTATGTGTATATATGTGAGGATCTGTGTACTTATATATGTGTGGGTTTATGGAAGGTGTATATGTGGGGAGAGTCTAAGTATGTATTGTATATGTGTAAATGTGTATGTGGGGGTATAGGTATGTGTGTGTGTATATATGTGTGTGTATATATAGGTGTATGTATATGTATGTGTACGAGGGGGTGGAGGTGCATGGTCAACTCGGGGTTACTGGTACACATCTTCATCAAAGGCTGAATAGAGGATGAGTACAGTAGACTGGAGAGTGTCTACGGAGCCGGGAAAGCAATTCGGCTCAGTTTTAGGAATTACTCCTCCACCTTCTCAGCGAGTAGCTGGATGAAAAGTCAAGGCCTGAGGAAACCCAGGCTCACAGCCATCTGTCATTTACAGAAAGTTGTCTCTACAAATTCAGATGTGGAGTCCAGCTCAGCAATGTATTCTACAGATGTCACTTTCATCTGGTTTTTTTCTTTTTTTTTTTTTTTAAGATTACAGCTGAGCTCCAGGTCTTTGTGGGGTACAGAAATGTCACTGGACCCATCAAAAGGTGGCCACTTTGAGTAGTAGCCCTGACAGACAGGTCCTGGCAAGGTAAGTTCTCTGAGGTCCACAGGAAACTCTCACACCAGAACAAGGTGACCCGTGACCCTAGTCTAGAAGGCCCAGGGAAGGAGCCACCAGGCTGCTTCTCACTGGGACGCAGTCTGAGCCACCACCTGCTCCAAAGCAACACCCTGATGGCAGTAGGCGGTAAGGGGTCTGAACCCAGCCTGCCCACTTCCTGGCGCTCTTCATGGGTAGCTGACCAGCCGGACACGTGGATGAAGGAATACACCAGATGAGATGGCTCACCGCCCTCGGCAGCAGGTATAGGTCACTCAGGTGCAGACAAGGGTACCTGAGGGCACAGGCCCAGGCAGTCAGCACAATTCTGGTGTGGAGGACATAAGCCTGGGTAACCTGGAAGGGGGCCTCCTTCTCTTGATGAGGTCAGAAATCCACAGCTGCCTGGGATGGAGACATGAAGCACCATCCACAAGAAAAGGACACCAAGGGACAAGATGGCATAAGCTTTGGCAAGAGCCAGCAAGGACAGTAGGGTTCTAGCTGTGGCCAAGGTCCTGATAAATCTGCTCATTTGACTAGAAACAAGGAGTGTCCATGCCACTGTCACTGCCAGACACGAGTACACCAGGGTCCCAGGCAGATGCCACACACTCACAAAAAGGCCTCTGCTAGACTAAACCACAGCCAAGTTCAAGGGCCAACAATCAGAACAACAAAGTGACCAGCCCTTGTTCCTGTGATGAGACTCTGTCCTGCCATACGCTCTTTATGTTCATGAGAGAAAACTCCAAACCAGGAGTCTTGACTGCTGTCTTGCTATGCAACTGGAATTCAAAGCATGCAGAGCAGCAGGGCAGAGCTGGTCCTTCCCCAGAGTCAGACTTCAGATGGTAGCTCTAGGTACGGCCATGTTCACATCCCTGTCAGTGTGAATGGGGTTTGGGTTCCTGGCCACTGGGTGAGAAAAAACCCTGAAGTACAAACAAAGAATCCATAAAGTGAGAAACTTTAGCATCAGACTCTGCACACCGGGATGAGCCTGCTTCCACCCTGCCCCGGCCTCCACCCTGCCCCGGCCTCCACCCTGCCCGGGCCTCCACCCTGCCCCTGCATGGGCAGGACAGATTTGGGAAGGTGCTGGATAGGTGCAGGGCGTCAGTTGGAATTGGTGACAAATCCACTCCTCACAAAACTACAATCACCACACAAGGAGTAAGAGCACTCGCCAATAAAACACCTAAACTCAGCAGCGGCTGGACGGCTTCTGTAAACACAGCGCTCAAGGCGGGATCAGAACTAAAACAGGAATCCAAGTGTCCATGCAATTGGTGCAACGCCTTCTGGCTTCGTTTCTCAAATTAGGTGACCCTGACATCTAATTTTCCAATTTCACGGTTCTCCATGGCTGTTTGGTTCTCGATCAATATAAATCTCTTCCATGTGGAGTATCTGTCAGTTAGATAAACACCCACTTTTTCTCGCTTTTGTCTTTAACAGCTTTAACAGTGAGAGATGATTTGTGAGCTACTGATCACTTCTGAAGCCCCAACATAGTACCTGGGATCTTGTGGCAGCCCAACTCCATACATCCACCTGTCTCCTGAATCCAGCCCAGAGGCTCCTGCCTCAGCCCGTCCACGGTCCTCTCTGTTCACGGCCAAGCACATGCACAGAGCAAGCACAGTCACTCATCACGCTTCCCCTGCCTGTGATTTTTTTTTTTTTTTTTTTTGGTTAGGATTAAAGGTTGGCTGGTACCACAGTGCAGCCCTGCAGTCCCAGCTACCCAGGAGGCAGAGACAGGGAGACAGCCTTGGCAATATAGGGCAACTCTATCTCAAAAGTAAAAATAAAAAATATTGACTTTATCATTTCTTTTCCTGCCAAATTTAGATCAGAATTCATACATCCCCTAAAGAAAAAGGAAAAATCCCAAACTACTCTGAAGTGAATAGTTTTCATTTAGACTTTTAACTGTAGGGAACAATATAAAAAAACCAAAGGAGCATAGACAGGTCATGAGCCAGGGTGTGTTGTGGAACTGAAGGGTCAGCAAAGCCACAGACAGAATTCTGACACAGACCTCCAGAGATGCTGCAGCCCAAGGTCCCAGTGGTGGGGGGAGTGGCAGCTCACAGAACATCTGTCCCATCCTGCTCCCTGGAGCATGGGGTGTGTGCAGATGTGATTAGCATCGTGAGATGAACTCATCCCAGGGCAGCCAAGCTACGTGGAAGCCGATGACAAGTGTGGTAAGAGCGAGAAAGAAATCTAGGATGGAGCCAGAGACATGCGGGGACAGAGACAGCAATGTGCTGGTGGAGCAGAGAGGAGAGGGAGGCAGACGAAGCCAAGGACTAGCCTGCAAGAGCAAGGAACCGGCCTCTCCCAGAGGAACGCGCCTGCTGCACCTCGCTGTGCCCAGTGGAACTGACTGAAGCTGTGGCTTCCAGAGGTGTGAGAAAACAAACTCTAAGACAGCAGCCTTGGGACTTGGGCAGCCCCAGGGATTCACACGGTCCCTGGCGGCTATCCTCAGATTAACATGAGTAGAGATGGGCTGAAGCCTCTTGTTCCCTCGGGAGCTTTATCTCCTCAGATGATTGCTGAGGGTGCTTTTCTGCTGCCTAGATCACCATGCATAGTTCTGAGCATGATCTGCTGGGCCCTCCTGCCCCATTGGCAGAGACAAAGTGACAGTGGCGTCCTGTCTGGGTAGAGGGAAGAGCCATCCGGACAGTGCTCACACTTGCTGCCACTGAGGCCAATTCCAGAGACAGGGATGAGCCCAGAGGGATGGAAGCCTTGATGCTTAGGACCACATGGAGCCCTTGGCTGAACACAAACAGCCATGGCCGATTGTCGCTGAATGCTCCCTACATCACACCAATCACAGAGAGAAGACACAAGAAGCGGAGAGGGGGCTGTGCTGGGAGAAGCTCAGTCAGGTCAGTGCTTCCCTAAATTTGATCTCGAGAACCAATATAAAAACAAAAACAAGGGCTGGAGAGATGGCTCAGCGGTTAAGAGCACTGGCTGCTCTTCCAGAGGTCCTGAGTTCAATTCCCAGCAACCGCATGGTGGCTCACAACCATCTGTAATGAGATCTGGTGCCCTCTTCTAGCCTGCAGGGACACATGCAAACAGAACACTTATACATAATAAATAAATAAATCAATCTTTAAAAAAAAGAACAAAAAACAAAAAACCCCCCACAGCCAGGCATGGTAACCCATCCTTGTAATCCCACTCTGAGGAGTAAGACACAGGGATCCTGGGGCTTGCTGCTCTGCCAGCCCAGCAAAAGACTCTCTGATTCTCTCTCTCTCTCTCTCTCTCTCTCTCTCTCTCTCTCTCTCTCTCTCTCTCTCTCCTCTCACTCTCTCACATGCACATACATACACACATACACACACACTTCTCTCTCACACACACACACCTCTTACACACACAACTCTCACACACACACACTCATGCAAACACACACACCTTTCTCTCTCTCAGCTCTCTCTCTGTCACATACACACACACACACACACACACACACACACACACACACACACACCCCAAGTCATAGCTAACACCTAAGGAATGACATTCAAGACATCCTCTGCACACAAAGCAGAGTGACTTAAGGGTCCTCATCCCTCTAAGGAAAGTGACAAGAAAGTGTGGGGCACTGTGAAGGCCACTGCAGAGGCCACAATCAGACCCCAGCCAGGACCCTGAGCAATCTGGCTCATGGTGGGAGGGGAAGGCTCTGCCCTTTGAACTCTGACCCAGAGCCCGCACCTAGAGGGCAGATGTGAGAACCAGACAAGCAGCATAGAAGGGGAAACCAAGGCCCACTGCCCACCCGGAAGAGCGCAAAGGGAATCGGACAGCCTGAGTCCAGACATCACCTTAAAAAATGTGTTTTCTGCCGCTCCTCCAAAAGGCCTCAAGTTCTGGGCCCCTGAGACAAACCTCACAAGGCTAAGACCCGA